TTGATTGTAGGTGAACTATAAATCTCAGCAACTACAACTCCCAAATGACAAAATCATAATTTTTTTGAGTGAAGAACATACATTGGGTCGTTAGGTGTCTTGTGTCCAAATTTGGTGTCAATTCATCCAGTGGTTTTTGAGTTCTGTTAATTCCACAAACGAAGCTTCGCCCAATTCCATCGATGGTGGGGTTCAGAATGCTCTTTGATTGTAGGTGAACTATAAATCCCAGCAACTACAACTCCCAAATGACAAAATCATAATTTTTTGAGTGATGGTCACTCCTTGTGTTGTGAGACGTTTTGTTGCCAAATTTGGTGTGATTTCGTTCATTGGTTCTTTTGTTTTTAAGGTACTCATTATGCACAGAGCATTTTTATATATAGATGCAGCGAGTACACATTTAGAAGGGTGATCCATAGCCCTTGGTACCTCTTGCCAAGTTTAGTAACTGTTTAATCTTCAGCTTCCTTGGGTTTTCCTTGGGATGCTTCCTTACAAAGGGATCCTCTTCTCCTTTGAAGTCATTCCAAGCTGGTAATGATACACAGAAGCGCCATCTTTGCCAGAAAGGGCCACGAGTTAAAGATTTGCTTTTAAACATCAGATGCTCTGCCATTTTTTTTTCCAGAAATATGTGCGAAGTGCTTCCTAATCATTTTATGTAATTGGCTAATCCAGGATACAAGCTCCTGCACTGAACCGCTGTTCTTTTGACATATTCGAAAGGTAAATCAGAGGTTGGAAAGAGTTGGAAGCATTAGCTTTTGGCAAGACCAGGCTCATTTTGATCACAGAGCTGTGTAAACGACGTTGCCTGACTCATCTGTCTTACAAACACATCGTGGGATCATCAGTATTAGTTTCTAAAGAGGAAAGCATTCAGTTTCATAGGGAAACAAAGTGATTCTGAATATCCCACAATACTCAAGTGAGGGCTATGTATCAGACATCCTGGCACTCCTTGTTCACATTAATAAAGGTTACTCCTTCAAGTACAATCCCTAAGACAATATCTCACCAATGACTGAGTAAATAAGCTCATAGAAATGTACTTGATATGAGAAATTACTTGAAAGCACAGATCAGATTTCCCTTTGGGTAAATGTTTACCAGTGTGATATTGCTTTTTAAACTTACTAAGTTCAAGAAAACCAGGAGTCACGCCTAGCACGAAGCACAGATAAGGAAAAGTCAAGACCAAACCACAATAGGCACAAGAAGTGGCCACAGCTTATAGGAAACCCCCAGCCTGCTTTAGGAAACATGGATGCTAAACAACCATGGGCCAAATGTCATTTCACAAATGCATGCTTTACATCTCAATTAGGATCTCAAGAACAGACAAGCATCCCGAGCTCTGAAGATCACCTGGGAAGGAATCCCA